CTACACTAGTCACTTTTCATAACGGTCAATATTAAGCAAAACAAGCCTGCACTGACAACGAGAATTAGAAGGAAGTAAATACATATTTGGGTGGTGTAATAGGCTATTATAATACAATGTCATTAATCAATATATTAAGATAACCGATGTTATTTAAATGACTAAAATAGCCTATAGACAATAATGAGCAACAATAATTCACCACATTGCATAGGATGATGCGATGACAAATTAAAGCGCACAGCTTCACCTAATTAATTATTAATTTGTTTAGTTATATATAATTTGAATTATACTAGAAGAACACCAATAAACTTCGGGTAATCAAAAAAAAAAGGTTTTATTCATTAGCCTACATCAGATCGGATTTTTTTTTCTTCAGGAAACAGGCAGAAATGACAGCTCGAACATACAGGCATTATATAGCGGGTAAATTTGACCCACGCTGGCGCTTATTATAGGTATAAATGCCCCGTTTTTTTATCTGGTTTTATCTAAACCGTTTTTAACAACGGGATTGTAAATCACACAATTTTAGTAAAAGTCAGTGACTGGGAGACTTGAATGTTTTATTTAAAATCTTTTATGTACGTTTTAACGGTAAAACCCTGTGGCGGTTCTAGTGTTAAAGGCTGGTCTGTATGGTAATACATTACATCCAAACGCTTGCCTATCATTCATCGACTTCAAATATGGCTTATCTGAAATATGTTGGTTGTAGCAACTTTACATGGCCGCTCAATCTAATGTTGTGTGCTGTTCAAGTGTGTGTGGAGTGTGGAGCTCACTGCAGGACAGATGGAGGCGCCGGTGCGCTCACTTACTCTTAAAATACTCCCTCCTTTCTGGTCATACAGATAAGAGTAATACATGTTTTGAATTTGTAAAGACTACGTTTATTTGTGGGCACTCACAATAACAACAAAACATTGTGATTTTGTAAAATAAAGCAAACTGGATGCGCTCTCCGTGTATAATTGCCTTACAGATATGAAAACCTATCTATAGAGAGCGAAATGTCTACTTTCAAATGAACCAATTCAAATGGAAAACAAATATTCTCAGATTATGTAATGCATTTGAAACATGCATACATGTGCATCCACTACTGATGACGAGTCAGTGTCACCGACTTCATCTCTTGAGCCGAAAACAAAGCATTAGTTTATCAATATGGCAATGGCAATTTTATTTATATAGCACTATTTATTAGAATCAGAGTTGACCAATGTGCTTTACAATAGAATAACTAAAAACAGCAATAACACAATGAAAAATAAAAACGTAAAACCAAGAGGAAGGAGACGGGGGAAAAAAGCTGGGTTATTAGCTTTCATATAAATCTGTTTATAGTTTTTAGTTATTTATTTATAGTTATCAGCATGTTGGTGTGCATGTAAATGATCATATTTTGAGGTCAGTATTTACACAGGCATTTCAATTTTTCAAGTAAAAGACAGTTTGTAGGGCAGTAATCTGGAAGGCTGTTGTGGTTTGGCGTTTCTAAGATGATGTTGGCGTTAACTGGCAATTGACACGAGTCAAACTGATATATTAATATAATTAAGTGAGATGGGCCCAGTGCGCAAAATAGTGCAGGACAAAATATACATTTGGTTCAATTAAATGTTGAATTAGGTTCTCAGATTTAGACAACTAGAGTTGCTTTACACTGAAAATGGTGCATTTACACAGACCGTTAAATCAGGCACAGAGTCAGCATCAAATGTTTTTACAGCAAAAACTGATACTGATTTAAACAGAAGCATGAATAAAATTAGCCCTCAAAAGTGAAACTCTGAGCAACGTGACAGATACTTCCATCTCCTTTTCACCATTTTGAAACCGCATTGTGCAAGCTTTGGATAAATTGTTGGCTGGTGTGGATGCAAATATAGTTATCATTATAGTTATTAGTTGTCGTTATCGTTCTTGGTGTGAATGAGCCTTTATTCACAGAGATGAAAAAAGAAACAAAACATGACCAGTGCATTTGTACAGGTCAATCAGCCAAAACATATGATTCATCTTACTGCAAAGTGTGGTACATTCACAATCCTGTGCAGCACAACATCATTAAATAATGCAAAAATAAACTTGGACACAGATTATACTGGTTTTAAACCCTTGTTGGACTCAAGCAAGATGAAGACATTGAATTTTCGAGCTACAAATACTGTAACTCATTTTTATTGCCAACACATACACTGCCAAAACATTAAACTTCAGTATACTAAAATATCAGTTTGTTACTGATAATTACGGTGTGCAAACAAGTGAAAATAACAGTGTACTGTATATTAAATGGACCTTCATTCATAAAGCTTTTACATCATAAATGAGTACATTGAGTAATTTGCACATACTTGTGTATGTTAAGTGTGTGTGTGTGTTAATACATTTCAATCTTTCATCAAAATGGTGTATACACGCACTTTCAGAATGAGCATAATCCCACCCATGAACCAGCTCATGTGATCAAGAATGACTGTTGTGTTGAATAAAGGTTATTCAGATGTGTAACAGCCAATGAATCTACATAGAGGTTTCAGAGTCATTTTCACAGTCCATAGTAAAGATGTGAATCTGAAAGATGTGATTTAATTAAGTAAATCTTCACTCTACCGGTTTGGTTCATTTACTGTGAATCGAGCTGTTCTGAGACACTGATATCATGAGCTGCATTATATTAAATTAATAAATTAAGACATATATTACTACTGTAATTTTGCAGAGAAAATTTATTTTTCTTTTCTTTTTTTACACTATTTTACAGTATTAGAATGTTTCTTATATTTAATATTTGTTTTATTTCACAATAATCTCACTATTGTAATCAATGATCACAAAATTATGAACACCCAAAATTTTTCCCAAATCTTGAAGATCTAAAAGGATTTCACACGCACACACACAAAAAAACTTAAAAGACTTAGTGTAAAAATATATTTTCTGTATAGTCGCACTCCCCAACAAAATCACCCTATTCAATCTAGAAGGCTTCTTTCTTAATAAATCGAGCTGTTCATAAAGTCATCTGGTCAAAATGTTTGTGTCATATTGCAGAAAAACAAAATATGTCCATGTTAGTTTTCTTCAGTGTTGTGCAGCCCCAGTGCTTTCACATTAGCACTTTTGGGTTCGTTTGGATGATGTGAGCGCTGCATGTGAATTCCTGGTTTTTCTATATTCTTCCGGTGTTTTATATCTTTATATCCTTCTCTTTGTTTCTTTCAGCCGTTAAAGAGAAAGATGAAGTTGAGTGCAGTACCAGCCAACCTTCAGATTTGACTCCAGACGTTTCCTCTTCTGAAAAAACTCCTGCAGCCCCACTAATTAAGAAGTCCACTCCAGGAAGAGCAAAGAAAACCATGCCAGGCTCTCCACGACTGGAGCTTCTTAAAGGGGCTCTCAGTAAAAGCCCTTTGTCTATCCCTAAAAAGCCCTGTGAATCCAAGGCACCCGTTGAGTCCAGCAAAGCCGCAGAAGTGGTTCCCTGCGGCCCCTGGGCAGAGGAGCCCGCTGTGGCCCCTCACGCCAGTCCTCTCCTGATGAGACAAAGCATTCGCCGCTCGCTGAGTACAGTTCTCTGCAGCAGGTCAGAGAAAGCTACCTCGTCTCTAGTCATGTCTTCATTCAAACACTTCATTTTCAAAACCAAATCCTGTTAGAAATGTTAATTGGTGATCAAGCACCAACGGTGCGAAGGCAGGGATACAATGTGTCCTCATCATCGGTCATCGGTCCATCAAATCATACATAGAGTAGTTATAAAAATCCTGAACCTTTAACCAACAGTTAAAAGTTTCACTTCTGATTCCAGAGCCAATGCCAAATTGATTGTCAAACTCCAAGATCGTTCATTAGGTCTTCAAGAAACCTGTCTCAAATCATCATGGATGGATCATGTTGCCAAAAAGTCATAAAAAGTTTTCTGAAATACCAAAGCATTCTTCTATAAAGCTGCCACAAATAAAATTGAGCACACAGGTCAGGTTGTATCTTGACAGCACTTTTGTGAATGGATCAAAGCAGGTTTAGTAGCTATTGCTAGTAATACAAAGTTTCAGACATTTAGAAAAGTGCAAGCTAGAGCAGGGAGGTATAAAGGAATAGAGAAAATTATGTATTTATTTATTAGAAATAACACAATCTCTGGAATGCTTTGGCATAACTTAGTGTGTCATAGTATGACAATATTATAATATCAATATGTTGGCAGTGTCACATATTGGTCAAGTTAAAATCTGTTTTATTGCATTATAATTAATTATGCTTATGGTTTTATAGACCACTTTGCCTAAAATCATTCTATATTCAGTCCATATTTTACCATTTGTGGTAACAGCTATATTTATAATCCTGTCATTTTCTTCATCAGGTTCAGTCAGAGTAATGATTTGAAGATTTCTGAGAGTGAAATTGAAAAGATGGCTGTGGACATGGAGAAAGAGATGTTCAACATGTGTTACACAACAGATGAGGAGTATAAGAATAAATACCAGTATCTCGTCCTCACCTTGAAAGAGCCCCAAAACAAGGTTATTTTGTCAGTTTACTGTATACACAGTTATTCTATTTAAATGTTTTTGTAATGTGTGGAGTCATGAATTTATTCTGATGGTTTATTGTTTTCAGGAACTGTGTCATCAGGTTTTGAAAGGAAACATGCCTTCAGTGAAGCTCATTCAGTTGAGTCAGCAGGAGGTAAAGTACTGTGACGTCACAAACTCATGTTAAGCCAATGTTTAGAATTTCAGTTCTTGACTGGTTTTTTGACAGGAATCTGCTGCTGATCCACTGCTGCAGATCTCAATGAAGAAGGAATCGTCCCTTTTTTCTGAGGATGTGGAAGAACCGGCTGCTCCTCCTGAGAAAGTGATGAGCGTAGACACCACAACGTCCCCGAGCGCAACCACTCCTTCAGTGAGCTGATGCTTATTTCCTTACATGTTTAAAGGAATCATAACCTTTATCATTCATCTGCTGCTCTCTAGCTGGATTTTAGACACCGGGCGTTAACAAGGACATTGCAGATCATCCACCACAGCAATCTTAGTGTGTGTTCACACTGGCAGGTTAGATTTGATTTGAATAAGTGTGAATGCTGCCATCCAAACCTTGGTACACACCAAACAAGTGGGCCGAGACCCCTTGAAAAGCTGGGTCTCGGTCTACTTCCAGACAGATTCTGGTGCAGTTCGACTGAAAATATGAATGCAGCTTGGACCAAAGTCTTTCCCTTCTTGTCATGGAGCTGTGACGAGCAGCATGAGCTGGTCATATGGCCTATTACAGTTTGGTGCAGTCTCCCTGCAGCACATATTCATTTGTGTGTGGAATTGAATTCCTGATACTGTTAAAAATGTTAAATTATTATTTTATTTTTTTAAATACCACCATATGTACATACAACAAGCACATTTAGCCCAGCACACGGCGTTGCTTTATTTAGTTCAGTCACAAAATATAAAAGCAGTCCAGTCTTTGCTTTTGGTTTGGTATCTTTAGGTTCAATGTTAAAAATGACACCACAAACCAGGACTAAATGCATCATTTTCTATTTTGGTCAGGACCAAATGAACCAGAACACATAGTGTGAACACATCCTTACATTAGGGCTTTTTTCCCTTCACTGGCTATAGCACAGTGGGATTTCTGTTCTACTCTGAGCAATCAAGCATTTTGTCTATCCTTAGGAGGAGAAATCGTCTCTGAAGCTGCCTCAGGCGAAGGAAATAAGCTTAGGTGCTCCAGATGTGACCAGCTGCATGCTGAAAGACACTACAGCAGAACATAAGCGCCATCTCTTTGACCTTAATTGCAGGATATGTACAGGTATGACCTTCTGAAACAAACTTCACATGCACTGCTTGTTTACCTGGAAATGTAAGAAATTGTAAAAATCGTTATAAAGTTATGCAATTATAATTTATTTACAGTATAATTTGTTACAAATGAATTTCTTACCTGCAGGCCAAGTATCCACTGATGATCCTGAAACCAAGAAACCCAAGATGACAATGACAAAAGATGAGACGGAAAAGGAGAAATCTTCAGGGGTTGTTCACGTGATCGTCTTTAAGTATGCTGTATATGGAGGGGGTGTGAATGTGGTTAGTGGGTGTTAAATATGTGCATTTTCTCTGTTCAGGACTTACCAGACACTATACACATAGGAGGAAGGATATTACCTCAAACTGTGTGGGAATATGTTGATTTGATAAAGACATCAGAGGCAAAGGTAAAACTGTGACTTTGAATTTATTATTAATAATTCAGATATATGAATTATATTAAATGCACATTATATAGGTAAATGCCCTTAATAAAATCTATTTGCACTATTTCTTTGAATGCAGGAGCTGTCATTAATCCGGTTCCATCCATCATCTGAAGAGGAAGAGGTTGCATATGTCTCTCTGTTTTCATATTTCAACAGTCGTAGGAGATTCGGGGTTGTTTCTAATATTTGTAAACACATCAAAGATCTTTACCTCATTCCTCTGAGTACAAAGCAGTCCATCCCTGCGGTGCTTCTTCCCATAGAGGGGCCAGGTATATCACGCACAGATTGCACTGATCGGTTCTGACATCAGACTATAATGATTTTAACCTGTTTTATGTTATGACTTCTCTTAGGGCTTGAACAGAATCACCCTAATCTCCTAATAGGGCTAGCAGTCTGTCAAAAGCCGAAGCGTCCCGAGGGATTGCCACAAGATGTTGGTGAAAAGAATTCTAGGTCCTTGATGTGTTCAGATGGGAAGGGAACCAGCAATCCTACCTCACTAAATGATCCTGGACAACATAGCATAAAGGCTTGTGATGCTGACATCTTCCTCGACTCAAATCCTGCTGGATCCTTACCTTCAGTTGGGTTACCAGACCCGTCATGCTCTGCCAGCTCTCTATGTGCCCCATCTTCTCTCCCCAGCGTGTCAAATCCCACCCCATCTGTCACTGTGGGCCCATCCAAAGACTCCACCAGTACCACCCCACTTCAGACCATCCTTAACACATTATTTGGGCAAAAGAAACAACCCTCAGATGTCTCAGAGTGTAAGATAAGCTCATTAACAGATACGGTTCAGATTTGTCAACAGACTTGCAAAGATGATGATGCAATGATATTGGGTGATGACAGGCCTTACGATCCTGAGGAGTATGATCCGGCATGCTCTAATGGGGCCATGGGTTCTTTCAGTCCAATTTTGGAACCTAAAGGTCCATCTGCAGTGGCTGATGATGATGATGATGATAGACCATACGACCCTGAGGAAGAGTATAGTGCAGTTGGTGATACTGTCAGAAATAATACACCGAAAGCATCAGAGGCTAAACACATGGAAGAGACCTCTACAGTTACCAGTGATATAGCTTATGATCCAGAGGACGAGACGATGTTTGAGGAGATGCAAAATTACCTCACAAGTAATGCTATACCTCACAAATCCACCTTCTGTAAAAATAACATGTCACATTACAAGGATAACACCTCAGTTACAACATTCTCTGAGCAGCAAAAAATCCTAGAAGAGCTGAATAGGCAGATAGAGGACCAGAAAAGACAGTTAGAAGAACAGACAGAAACTCTACGCCTACAGAAGGAAGCAATTGGTGTTTCCATGGCCCATTTCTCTGTTTCTAAAGCTCTGATGTCACCAACACACTTTGATGAAGAGGAAAGCATAGAAAACATACCCTACTGTCAGATAATTCATCAGAATAGGGATCCACGGATCTGTCGAAACACAAGCCAGGATATGCCATTGGATGATACTGAATGTGAGGCTATAGATAAAGAAAGTGCAGAGAAATTATTAAACACGGAGGAAGCCACGAATGTAGTCCTGAACAAATCTTTTACCACAAAGAAAGAGAAATTAGCTTCTGATAAAGCAATGCCCAAAGAAGGATCACCAGACACTAAAAGTGCACAACTAAAGAACACTAAATGCTCACACTCAGAGTACACCCACAAAAATCAAGACAGTAGGTCCACACTGAGCACATATAGGTCATCGAGGAGGAGGTCATGGCACGAACACAGGTCACACCATCAAGACGGGGCGTCTTCAAGAGCATCGCGTACAGTTAGATCCTCAAAGGACGTCTCAGACAAACACCATCGAAGTAAACACTCTGCAGGGCATCTCTCTAGAGGATGTTACAGTGACAAAAAAGGAGTGACAACATCAAGGAAAAGGCATTATCACCATCACAGAGACTCATCTTCACCCCCACGGTATCAGATGAGGCGTCATTATTCCCCCGTCTCGCACTCAAGCCGGAGAGACAAATCTTCACATGATGATAGTGACCAGTCACGCAAAACTGACCTGTCAGAGTATAGCACTAAATCTTCACAACATGAATCTGGCCAGGTGCCAGACAGTGATAGCATTCAATCTGCGTACACATCAGGACAGAGTGTTAAAGTGGAGGGGGACACACAACCCCAACCAGTAAATCTCATATGCCTCATCTTGCTAATCCAAGTGGTTATGCACAAGATATTTGTGAGCTACATAGCCCTGACTGCCACCAAACATTTGCAGAGGATGCAGAAGACAGAATACGCACAGGTTTTTCAAGACAGGCTGCATCACACTCTCAGGACACAGCACACGGGGCAACGCATAGCCGGTTTGAAGGACAGCAGTATACTGAAATCAAGGGTCAACTAAGAGGGCGATTCCAAAGATTCAGAGGACGAAGAAGAGGCATTGTGGGCCCATTTTATGCCAGAGATCATAAAAATAATGCACAAGTAAGGGGACCTCACTTTGATTCACCACAACAGTTTTTGGGCCAAAGAGAACCCTCTCTTGATTTACATAGACGGAGAAGACCTTCACCTCAAAACTGTGACGGTTTTGATGATCATAATGAAACCCATTCATCCGATTTTCCCAACCATTCCACTACCACCCCCACTCATTTTACAAAACCACAGCATCAGCATTTGGGGCAGCCACCTGCAAATTTGGAGTGCCGGCTCAGACAGACTAATATACGCCCTTTACGTCTATCAGGTCCACTACTCCCCACTCCTCCCGGAGGTCCGATTAGGCAGAACCTTTCCCGGGGACAAGGACAAAACTCTCACAATGAATGTCACAGGGACTACTTGACATAAGACAAGGTCATGTCGCAAAGGATGTTAGTGGATGCTGTATTCATGAAGAGAAGCCAAGCATTAGTAACTGTTTTAAACTTCTGCAAAGTGTTAATTCTAAAAGTGTAATTCAGGATGAACAAAGAGTTGAGTGTGAAAGTAGACAGGAAGAACCAAGTGTTCAAGAGGACGAAATGGTATATCTGAAGACTGTCTACACAACACAAGGAAAATATGATGAAGAGGAGATTGATTTCTTTCTTTTTTTTTTTAATATAGAGGAAATGCAAGAGCGCTTGGCTGCAGACTATATAGAAATGATAGGAGCAGATCTTGCAGTGTTTGGCTGAGTAGTCAAGATTTAAACTATCGGGTGCTGTAAAATCGTAATTATAGATAGACTTCAGTTCAGTTTGCAGAATGTTCAGAATTAGAATGGATTGAATAAAGGAGCAAGACAACCCCTCTGAAAGTTTGAATTATTATTTACCAGTTCAAGCATAAATAGACCTTGTTATACACCAGTACACTGTGTGTGTGTTCATTGTCTGTTCTGGAAAGCGAAGCAATGAATGTCAGTCAAGCAGTTTTTGATAAATCTGTTTACATTTTCTTGAAAGGCTGAAGGTTTGTTCATCCTGCCATACCAACTGAATTACTTCAAGTTGATTACTGAAAAATATTTTGGTTTGTTTTGTGGAAGCAGGACATGGTCATGTTAACTACTGACAAGTTTGTAAACATTATTTTTCTCTTGCAATGACAAAAACATCTCTTGAGCTATAAATAGCAGTGTACATTTGTTCATAGATTTTTATGTAATTTTCTAAGTGTATATTTGTAAGTAATTCAGAACCTCAAAAGATGGAATCTTTTGGAATGTCCACTGATTTCATTTATTAAACAACTGAACCACAAAACCTGTCCAGTGCATATGATTGTCTCTAATTGTGTCCCTTCGATTGGAGTGTCTCTTTAAATATTACTGTAAATGTTGTGTCTGTGACCCTGGGCAGGTTTCTCACAGTTTATGTAAATTGCCAATGAGTTCTGATGGCAAGCTGACATTAAATAGGGTTTAAAAAGCCATCTCTCATTTTGAATAGTCATCATGAATAGTCTATCTCTATTAAATAACTTGTCTTTTTTGGTATGCTATATTTTAGACAGAATCTTGGAGTTTGACCACATTTAACCGTGGGCTGCAAATACATGTGCTAGGTCAGTGGTTGGAGTACTGCACATTTTGTGTCCTTATATCTGACACCCACTTCAGGTTTTGCAGTGATGAGCTGAATCAGGTGTGTATTAATAAACTGATCTGATAACAAGGCTACAAAAATCCTTACAAAATCAGGTTACCACTTTTTACAGTGTAGTCTGAAATTATTATATAATTTATATAAAGGTTTGTGCCACAGCTGCCCTAAACTAAGTAGGTGATTACCAAAATGACCATTGTTATTTTTCTGTAATGGTTAATCCACCAGTGTGTGTAAGATCTTTAGTCACAGTAGTGTTTCTAATGCTAAAGTATAATTATTGTTGGGATTGAATGATTCTAAGATAGATTGCACAAAAGTTTAATTTAAAAGCAAGTCGTTGGGAACAACTAGAAACTATT